AAACTACAATGGAAAGAACCCAATAAGACTTTCATATCCAGAGCATTAAAATCACATAAACTAGAAAGAAATCAGCATATGATCTTAAAATCAGTGGCTCAGGAAAAGTGCTGCTCAATCGAAAACCTAAACAGCCCCGTTCAAAAGAGAAAACTATTCAATAACAGTATCCTACATCTGAAATTCCCAGAACTTTCACCCATGTGAAAACAATGTCTAGTAAAGACCAACCCATATAGGTTTACCTGATCATAAATCCTTGAGACCTCCTTGTAGTTGGTTTCAAACGACATCAAACTATTATAAGTAATTGTAGATTGTGGAACTCCTCGTACTGCCATTTCAGAAAATAATTTACGAGCCTTTTCGTAATTCCCAGCCTTCTTGAACATATAAATCATCATGTGGAACATCTTTTGGTCTGGCTTCAATACTTGCCCTTCCTTGTTCAAGAGGGAGTCGAAGAGTTCTTCAGCTTCCTTGAATTTACATCCCTACAGTAATGCCTCGTCATTTTGTGAACCAAAACAAACAAACCAAGAAATGCACACATTCGAAGATTGCATAGGCTTGAAAGAAGAAAACGAGTTTCTGAAACGAAATTTTTGCAAAGTGTTTGATTGGTTCGGTTAGGAACTTATATCCAAAGAATAAAAATAAATTAAATCAAAATTCAGATTGTGATCAGCTTTGAGTTTTGGGTCAAAATCTTGATAGGGAGAGCTTGTGTTTCAAGTTCCAACAAAATTATTCTGCATTGGAGCATAATATCCAGAATCACATATACAGCCATAAACGCCCCAAATTTGACATTGAAAGTTCACAATAATTAAGAACATTCTTGATTTTCATGAGGGTCGAATTGAAGGATTAGACCGATAAATGAAGGAATATATTTGAAAGGCTTTAAATAAGATAATGTTTAAACTAAGTACCTCAACAAAAGTTTTTAGCATAATTTGATATGTCAATGCAGAAGGTTCAGGACCACCGGATTGCATCCTTCTAAAGATTGCTTCAGCATTATTATACCTGCCACCTCTTCCATATGCTTCCATAAGAGCAGTATGAGAGATCACGTTTGGTGCATAACCCTTCTTATTCATCAAGTTTAAAACTTTTTCTGCACGATTGAACTCCCCTAGCTTTCCATAAGCTGTAATAAGCATCAAATAATCCATTTCACTAAAGTTCCACCAGCTCTGGGTCCGGAGCCATTCGAGAATCTATAAGACAGTTGAAAAACACGATTTTGGACGATCAGCACATCTGAAGCTTGGAAGTTGTAAAACAAAGGACTCGGGAATAGAATCCGGACATTACAACGACCATGCAAGAACTTAATTTTTTAACTTAAATTACTTGATATTCATATTGAATTTAAAACACGCATTTGAACAATTCTTACACGAACATAGTGTTTAAGTACATCTTCTTATTCCAACTAGAGGACGTTAATGATTTTGAAATAGCGTCTAAATTGTTTCACAAACTTTAGAGGCAGACTATACATCAAATGGTGCATTGCATTATCTTACATAAGACTACATTTTTATACTCATTCAATTCTAATTTCAGGCAAGTCGCCCTTCGATTCATTTTTCATTTCCTCCTATAAAGAACAAAATTTTGAAACAAGAATAAATATCAAATCATACAAATGTTTGTGCTCTGTACCTCACTGACAATGTTCCATTTCTTTAGCTGTTTAAATCTAACCAAGGTGCCCAACACTAAGTCCTTCTGAATAGCCTCATTTTTTATCCTTCCACTTTTCAGCACAGAAACAGCAGAGCCTGTCTCCTCTATTTCATTCATCAGTTTCCTCCAATTCTTCTGCTCTGCCTCGTCCGCTGCATCCTTAAATACTTCCAACTTCTTCCTTTTCTGTAAGAACTTCCTTGGTGTCAACATACCCATACAGGTAACCACCAATCTTCCACGTACATTAACATTCGAACTAATAGAATGTCTGCGTGCTTGCGATTTACTGAAATAAAAACAGCATAGCACATTTTCACCACCGAATAAACATTACATTAGTTCAAAATTTGTAAAGACCTCTGCACAGATGCACTTGTTATACTCATACTATTAACAATCTGATAGTTGTACCCACTTTTAACTTTTTTTGGTAATGAATTAGATCTTAGCATAGATATCCAATGACAATTAATACACGCTAGCGCAGATTGAACCCTAATGAACCTAGAAAATTCACATTTCTCCAAAAGTACAACTAGTCGTTCAGAAATCAAGCAGATGTTCAACGTTTGAAAAACTCACGGCTTCAAAACTCCCTAAATCCACAATCTGATATCAATGAATAGCACTCCAACAATATAGTAAGAATCCACAGAACAAAAAGCATCAATAAAACAGCTCTCAAATAGAAATTTTAGAACCAGACAGAATTAAGATACCATATAGTGTCAGGAATTTTCGAGTTAGCCACTTGAATTGAGATGGAAAAACATTAAAAGGAGAGTATAATTGCAGTTCATCACAAAATAAAAACACAAGAAATCAACAACCAAGCGCTCGCAAACAAAAATGGGAACAAGTATGACAATGAATAACGAGCGAAAGGGTTTAAGTATGAGGTTTAAGCGTAACCTCCAATTGGGAACAGGAACTGATATAACTGGCTTCAGAATCAGAGCTTGAGGCATCGGAGAAAGCTCTAGTTTCGGCAAAACTGGCTATGATGCGACCGGAGCTCCGCCTTCGTCCTTCCGGCGTCTGATATTTTTTTCTCAGAGCGCGCAGTTGCAGAGGGTCTGTTTAATATCTTATCCATTTATATTATTACTGTTTTTCTGTCATTTTAATTTAACGAGAGAGAAGCTACGACTCTTCCCATATTAACCTTTTCATTTTTTAATAGGTATAGCCAGTAAATTAAAAGTTTTAATTACATGATTTATTTAAATTTGATGTCTAATAAAAATTCAATTGAAATAAAAAATTAATTACTATATTCATAAATCTATATATTTTAATTGATTGAAGTAAGCATCAAGAGCTAGGGATGTACATTCAACTCGACAACCCGATAATTCTGACCAATTCAATTCGAACTATAATGATTGGATTAGCATTTCGAGTAGGGTTGGGTTCATTTTTCTGAACCCGAACTGAATCGATTCGGTTTCGAGTTTGTGGATAAAACATTTGGGTTGACCCGAGCCAAATAAAAATAATATAAATTATGTTAAGAATCCTTGTGCATTAATAAGTTTGCCTGGTACTTCGACATTTTTTCTTTTGTTTTATGACAATGTTAAATATGTTAATATGTTACAATTTTTGCGGATTGTTTTTTATTGATTTTTTTTATGTGAATAATTATAGATAGATTTGTGTTTGTTTGTGAACTCTTAATATATTTTTATCTAAGATTGTATCAAATTATAAATGGTGGATAAATAAAATTAAAAAAAAAAATTACAACTCGACAACCCGAAAATAGAGGGTTGGGTCAAAAAAAAATCTCTCAACCCAACCCAACCCGGACCGTGTACACCCCTATCAAGAGCCGAGAACGAAGTCTGCTTTAAGAAATTTAGCTCATTTTTCGCTATTTTATTTTGGATAAATAGTTTCGAGTATCGTGAAATTGTGTAGATTCTAAAAATTTTTAGCTTTAAAATGAATACAGAGAGAGAATAGTAGTCTTCCTTGTTTTTCCTGTTTGTGAACACAAAATTATCAACGTTACTTCTACAAAAACCCATCAATCTTTGTCATTTAACCAAAAGCTCGTATCTCGAACCGCACCTGAAGAGCCAATGAGAGATATATGTATGAAACCATATATCGTCTTTCCCTTGAGCTCAAAACTATGGTAGAGGACGAAATAAACCTATTCGTGGAGGTCTCCATAAAGAAAAACATTTTTCTACGTCAACATCTTCGAGCTATATGGATATTGCACGAAACCAAGTTGAACCTAGGGGTGTACATGGTCCGGGTTGGGTCGGGTTGGAGGATTGTTTCGACTCAACCCAAAAGTTCGGGTTGGTTGGATTGGTAACCCAACCGAACCGGAAACTTTTCATCAGTATTCTTAATATATTTTATATATTTTTATTTGTCTCGGGTCAACCCGAAGGTTTTACCCATGAACCTGAAACCGAACCGATTTAGTTCGGGTTCAGAAAAATGAACCCAACCCTACCCGAAATGCTAATCCAACCCAACCCAACCCAACCCTTATAGTTCGGGTTGGGTTGGTCTGGGTTGTCGGGTTTTCGGTTGAATGTTCACCCCTAGTTGAACCTATGTTTGATCAAGTGCTTAAACTATGCTAGTCGAGGTTAGGAGGTATCGTCCCTTGATTATTACCAACATATGACGTGTAATCGACGTGTTGATAGCTTTTACTCAATAGAATAAGAATTGTCGATTCTTTCTATTGTCTACTTCTCGTTCGTTCAAATCATTTTCTTGGTACTCCTTTCTCAAACATAATTTATAATTAACTGAATGTATCGAAACTAAAATTATAATTTTGAAAGTTAAAAAGACCCAATAGACACTATGTATGTTAGGGAGTGATTTTAACTTCTAGACACGATGTTAACCGTTAAAAATTTACTTTTAGAGTTAGTACAGTACTTTTTAAGTGTAAAAATAAATATTAAAGTGATTTTAAATGATAATTTAAAAATTATGGAGTCGGCCCAGTTCTCCAACTAAAACTGTCTTTACAAACTTGAAAGTTGGGCCAAAATTACGCAGGCCCATTAAGTGGCCCAGCTCTCCAACATAAGGCAGTTCATGAAATTGAAGTTGGGCCAAAATACGTGGCCCATTATACGGCCCAATAATCGAATTTGGAAATTGGGCCACATTTCTGCAGGCCCATTGTATGGCCCAGTTTACATATACGGGCCTTAGAATTAGAGAAGACGCGCCACGTGTTGTTAACGTAAGATTTAAATTAAATGCAATTTTCATTTATTTTTTTTAAAAAAAAAGAAAAATCGTTTCGACGCCAAAAATTAATTACAAAACAAAATATTCATCTCGTTTGCCGCTCTGTTTCTTCGAGACAAATGTTGCGAGCCTCAATTTCCTCCGAGCTGTTGTAATTGATCCGCCACCGCAATCGTCGGTTCCCGACCTAATTTTCCTTCTCAAATGCCGAGTTTTCAGCCTCTTTTTCGTCGACAATGATCCCTTTCAAGCAATCTTTCGTTTGTGTTAGCCCCTCAATTTCTCAGGTATGATTGGATTATTGTATGTGTTTTGATGGCATTGGAAATTCGAGGTTGAAAAGAAGTTTTGAGTCAAAAATTGGGAGGAGTAAAGTAGTTGTGAAATTATGATCCTTCTGTTGAATCTTTTCCCCCCTATTTTCTTGGTAACCAAACGGAAAAAGGAACGTGCATTTCCATATTTTCTAATTCTGAGTAGTTTTAGATCCGCGTGTTTACGTTTAAGGCTCGTGTTTTTTGTGTGCATTTGAATCCACTGTTATATTGCTGAGAATATCCCAAAGAGGAAAATAATCAGACGGCCCGCAATATCCTCTCTCGATTGGCGTCAACAGGGAACAATTGCTTTATTCAGAACCGTATTTGTGTTTTTTTTTCTAGTACAGGAAGTAAGAATCTGAGGTTTTATAGTTTAATCTCGGATATGGTTGTCGCTCTCCCAGCCAAGCGGTGCGCAATAAGGAAAGAAGGCGACACGAATCATCTCTGTTCTAGCGTAAAAGACGATCTATTCGCATTTGATTTTTCTTTTAATAAGTTTCGTAGTAGTCTTTGAATGTCTATCTCCACTTGTTATGATATTTGAGACATGATTGATTAGAATGCCTAAGCTTTATATGGTTCCTGAGATGTTCATCACTAATATTATGGCAGTTAGAAGAAGTAAATTCATGAAGGAAATTGAAGAAAGTAGAACTTATGGCGTCAAGTGTTGATGAAGATGGTAGGGAGCCAGCCATGGAGTCTGGAGAATCTGAGGAAGGAATTGTTGTCCGGGAAGTCTGTGCAAATGGGGTCTCCATAAAAACAACAGAAGTAGAAGCAAAACTCGATGAAGGAAATATTCAAGAGGCAGAATCTTCATTACGGGAAGGGTTATCCCTCAATTTTGAGGTTTGTTTATTTACCATCATGAAGCCATTATTATTGAAATGAACTTGAATTCCTGTTTGCTACAGGCTGCTATAAACATAGTCTAGTATGCAATTGAAGCTTATTTGACTTAGAAGGACAAAAATGAAAAACGAATTGGAGATCATAAGTGAGAACTTAAGGCGTTCACTTCCTAAATTTATATAAAAATATAAGTTCCTGAGTTTATTGTTCAGTTAGTAAGGCTTTGACCATCTATTTGTTGCCTGTTGGGAAACCTTTGTTAACTTCTGCCTATAGTCAAATTATCCAGGTGTTTCTGTTCGTATATTTTCCTTATTTTTATATCCTCCACCCACAAATTGTTGGAGTCTGTTTTTGTAATGTAATTAAAAACCCAAATCTTAACTAGATTCTATGACTGGAAAACTCTATTCCATATATATATATACCAATTAGATTAAGATTAATGAAAGTACAAAGAAGACCAACAGAAGAAACATGCCATCTAACATGAGGTCAACCAAAAAGGAAAAAAAGAAAAAGGAAAAAAGAAAAAAAACTTTAAAAAGGGGCACTAATGTAGTAGAAGTTTTTGATAGATACAATATTTTAGTTCTTAGATCATAATTGTAGGAATATCAAATTTTATTTAATCTAATCGTCGTATTTTCTTTCTAGAAGTTTGAAAAAATTTATTTATGTCTATAATTATTGAGCCAAAATGTATTTAAAAAAGGCATATATTATGATGCCAGTATCATGTTCTTTGATCTGCTGCAGTTTTCTATGCCCATGTGTCTATTTTCAGTTTTTCATTAGTACTATTAACTTGAATAATTAGTTGGTTGAATCAGCTACTTCAATTCCTAAGAGGCCTTTCTGTTTTCCTCAAAATCGTTTGGCATAAACTTCAGAAAATTATTTGAAAAAAAATCCAAAATCAAAACATAGAATACTTTGATCACATGAGCGTGCTCTAATTGTTAACCCCTTCGAATATGTGAAGTCCACCAATGAATGAACAAAGGAGAGACTAAATTGATCGCTGTACTGCATCCTACTACTACCATACTACTATTTTTTTTGGGGAGTCATTCTGTTCAATGTGCGGCAGTTTAGAAATATTGATTGATGATTTTTGTTACATAAAAAAATGGCTGCAGGAAGCCAGAGCCCTTCTTGGAAAGTTGGAATATCAGAGAGGTAATCTAGAAGGTGCACTACGTGTGTTCGATGGTATTGATCTCCAAGCAGCTATTCAACGATTACAGCCTTGTATTGCTGAGAAGACACCTCCAAAAAAAGGACGTTCGCGCTCTGATTCTCAGCCTGCAGTTTCACAGCATGCTGCAAGCCTGGTGCTTGAAGCCATATATTTAAAAGTGAAGTCTCTTCAGAAGCTAGGGAGAGTAACTGGTAAGAAGGACTAATCTAGTGTAAATGGGGATAGACATACACTCTTTCTTTTTTCTTTTTTCTTTTTTTTAATAGTGCATCTCAAATTCTAACTAATACGGGACTTTTCAGAGGCTGCTGATGAGTGTACTAGTGTACTTGACGCCATAGAGAAGATATTCCAACAAGGAATTCCTGACGGGCAAGTGGATGATAGATTGCAAGAGACTGTCAATCAGGCTGTTGAACTCCTCCCTGAACTGTGGAAGCAGGCTGGCTGTTTCCAGGAAGCAATATCTGCCTATAGGCGTGCTCTCTTAAACCAATGGAACCTCAGTAATGACAGCTATGCTAGGATCCAGAAAGGATTTGCTGTGTTTTTGCTTTACAGTGGAGTCGACGCTGGTCCTCCTAGTCTAGCTGTTCAACTTGAAGGTTCATATGTACCGAAAAATAATTTGGAAGAAGCAATTCTACTTTTGATGCTTCTTGTGAAGGAATGTTTCCTTGGTAATACAAAATGGGATCCATCCGTGATGGAGCACCTAATATTTGCTCTATCCTCATGCAGACAGACTTCTGTTTTAGCAAAACAATTTGAAGAGGTCATGCCTGGGGTATATCGCCGTGTAGATCGTTGGAAGTATTTAGCTCTTTGTTATTGTGCAGCTGGACAGAACAAAGTTGCCTTGAATCTTCTGAGAAAGACTCTACACAAACACGAGCAACCAGGCGATGTAGCAGCCTTATTACTGGCTGCCAAGATCTGTAGTGAGGATCCTTATCTAGCTGCTGAAGGTGTTGAATACGCCCAGCGGGCAATTAATAATTGTATAGGAGATGAAGAGCATTTAAAGGGTGTGGGTCTACGCATGTTAGGTCTTTGCTTGGGAAAACAAGCCAAAATTTCTTCCTCTGACTTCGAGAGGTCCCGTCTTCAGTCAGAGGCATTGAAATCTCTTGAGGCTGCAAATGGTCTGGAGAGAAATAACTTAGATTTGATGCTTGAGTTAGGAGTACAGTATTCCGAATATCGGAATTTGAATGCTGCATTGCAATATGCAAAGAAGTTCATTGATGAAACCGGTGGCTCTGTCTTAAAAGGCTGGCAGTTGCTCGCTCTTGTTTTGTCTGCCCAAAAGAGATTTCCAGAGGCGGAAGTGGTCACTGACGCTGCGATGGATGAGACCACAAAATGGGAACGAGGACCACTTCTTAGACTCAAGGCAAAGCTGAAAATCTCTCAATCATTACATATGGATGCTATTGAAACATACCGTTATCTCCTTGCATTAGTTCAAGCACAAAAAAAATCCTTTGGACCGCTCAGAATCGTCCCTCAGGTTAGAATTTGCTTTATATTTGGAAATTTAGCTTCTATTTTAAATATAATTCCTACTTTTTTTCTAGCAGAAGAAAATAAGTAGTTCAAATGCGTTTTAACTCTATAAAAGAAAACTTCAGTCAATTGTCGCTGGTTTTAACTGTAGAATATGTGAGTTACTAGCTTATAAACTTCTGGTATGCACAAGTTATTCTGTTGAAGTTGTATCCTAGAATAACAAGGAGTCTACAACATTAAAGTTGTCAATGGAACTCCTTTTCACCAAATTGTATATTTGAGTATCTCTTTCTTTGATCTCGGCCGTCTAAATAGAATGTAACTTACGGACAAAATATATTTTGTATACATGTATGATTCACTTTCTGCCTCAATTATAGGTTGAAGATGATAAATTGAATGAATTTGAAGTTTGGAATGGTCTAGCCAATTTATACTCCAGCCTTTCACATTGGAAAGATGCAGAGATATGTCTAGGAAAAGCAAAAGAGCTGAAAGAGTTCTCCCCAGAATTACTACACACTGAAGGCAAGATCTGAATACTTTTTTTCTTTTTATGAATTAATAGTGTCATTTGTTATCTTCTAAGCCGTTCAAAACCGTTATCGTGCACCTTGACACTCTTATACTGCTTGCCTGCTTCTGAAAGATTAGCTAATACTTCAATTGTTATAGAAAAATGAAAATTCTTCAGCAAAGGATCTCTTTCATGAGTTGACTTTCACTGTCTATCTTTGTCCTTCAAGTTTATCCATTAACATTCTGTCTGGATCTGGAAAATTGTTAATTACTATAAATTCTCTGAAATAGTTGCTGAACTAGGTTCTTTTCAAAACTTGGTCCAACCTCATGTTTCCAACCTGTGCTGAACTTCATAGTTTAGACTTTGTCGAAAACTGCCACTGCTGCCGTTTATCTCCTACAACAGGACGGACCATATTAGTGCGAGAAGTAGGAATTTTCATCAAGTGTGTGTCTGCCCTGATGAGTTCTATGATCTCCCATTTAGATAGTCTTATGAAATCTTAATAACTCTATCGACAAAATCCAAACTTTTTGTTTGCTCAGCTGAATTGGCTTGTCCTTGTCTTCTTCACCACTTCAAAGTAATACGAGTCTTAGCATTGTGCATGTTCCTTATAATACTTGCTCGGAAGTTTTTATTTTGGATTGAGATCTTTTGTTTGGCAACATTTAATTTTTATGAAATTGGCGTAGCCCCCCTCCCTCTCATACAAGATTTGCATGTATGCATAATGTTGTTCAATGTCAATCGGTATGTTACTTTAGTAGAGAATTCGTCAATTTGCTGATTCAGAATGGCACTATAATAATTAACTTGTTGCTAAAGCCCTTGTCATTCCTGTCTTCACCATTGTTAAGGATTTCAAGATGACAAAAGTACTCATCATATAAAAATAGCAGTGACAGAAAAAATAAAAGCCTGGGAAGAATGATTTGCATAATGGCTACAAGATTAGGATGCTAGTATTTATGTCCGTGATTAGAGTCTTCAATTTTTCTCATTTACGCCACAAAATATTGGTATTGATGTAGTGTATCGTATGCATCGATGTCCTATCTCGCAGCTAAATTGTTCATCGTTTGTTGTTTCATCAGGTCTAATGTACCAAGGATGTGAGAAAATACAGGAAGCCCTAGCTGCATACATTAACGCTCTTCTACTTGAACCAACTTACGTTCCTTGCAAGGTTTTGATTGGTGCTATTTGGTCGAAAGCAGGCCCGGATGCGTTGCCTATAGCAAGAGGCTTACTTTCAGACGCATTGAGATTAGATCCGACCAACGGTAAGGCTTGGTTGTACTTGGGGGTGATCCATAGGGACGAAGGACGAATGGCTGATGCTGTAGACTGCTTCCAGGCAGCCGCCATGCTTGAAGAATCAGATCCCGTTGAAAGCTTCAGCAGTATTCTATAGTCGGTCATTAATTTATTTCAAGGTTTCAGTCTAATAATTCATTTTAGATCTGCCAAGTTTTTGACAACTTCCTTTCTCCATATCATAAAGCAAAATTTCATTTTTCTTCAGTACAGGATGATCGACTTCAAACTAGCTCCGAAATGGATTGAAGATCGCATACATTTCACTTTCTTAGAGACCGAAACTAAGGAGTTGGGGCGAAATGTGAAGAACTATGCTGTAAGTCGTAACTGGACAAGCTTAATCTATAAATTTAATTACATAAAAACTGTGTTTCAAAACTATATAAATGTGAAGTTAGGAAGGATGAATTCATGTAGAGAGATGAGTGGGTGGATATTTTCAACACTGATTGTTTGTTTTTACCATTCTTGCTCAGCAATGTACATTTATTCTTGTAACTGAGCAATATACACTAATGTTTATTTGTTGTGATGTAATCTATTTACTTTCTTCCAGTCCAAAACTGACTCGAAATTGCTCAATATTCCTCTTAACCTTGCATCTACTTTTAGTTTGCCAGTGCTATCTTATTTTAATCTGATGACAATAAATTATTGATGCTGGATGAATGTGAAAAGCTATAGTCTTGAAGAACAAAACTATCCATGTTTGGTAGCATTATGCCCGGGAGCTGATGTTATAGAAGAATTCAAATTTGTAAAATAGGGAAGGATGACATATTTATAGATTTAGTTTCTTCAAGCATAGAAATCACAGTGATGCAAATTAACAAGCTCTACCGGAGGGCCTCAACAAATTACAAACCCTATAACAAGTGATGCAAATCTACAAAGAATGCATAAGGAAGAGTGTCAATGAACACGATTCAAAGTGTTGATTCTTTCCTTGGGCTATTACAAATAGTATTAGAGTTAGACATCGGGCGAGGTAGTGTGTCAGCAAAAGATGCTCGGCCCTGAAGTGGGTGGATTGTATGATCCTACATCGGTTGGGGAGGAGAACAAAACATTATTTATAAGGGTGTGGAAACCTCTCCTTAGCAGACGCGTTTTAAAAACCCTGAGGGAAAGTACAGAGAAGATAATACCTACTAACGATGGGCTTGAGTTGTTACAAGAATATACTAGTTCGAGATTGGACACAAAATAAAAGATCCCTTGAAAACACATACTTCACTAAGATACTGTCGGGACATGGATATAACCGTTTCAATATCACAATCAATAATTTAAGTCATTTTCAATAAGACATTGCTTTACCCTCTTCAAGGGGTTATTATTTCTAAAAAGATGAGCAGTGACCTTGGAAATAAATAACTAAGCAAGAAAATGAGCAAAACACATGCATTCAAATACTTACATAAGCCTTCAAAATGGTATATTTGTCCATCATTGGATTTATATTTTCTAGACCTATTTTACAAAAATATCTTCGGTTCAATTACATTAGCTAAAAGTATTCCATTTTTAACCAAAATATGGTATTTCTAAACATGTAAAGCTTATTTTAATAGGAAAAAAAACTAAAATTAATTCATATTTTTTAATATTTTATAATTCGCATTAAATTACTAGGATGGTTTGTTTAGCATTAAATTACTAGGATTGTTTGTTTATGCGATGTCCCACATTGGTTGGAGAGGAGAACAAAACACCAGGTGTGGAAACCTTTCCCTAGCTGCTAGGTGAATCTGAGCCGTAACTAATGGTATCAGAGCCAGACATCGAACCATGTGCCAGTAAGGACGCTAGTCCCAAAGGGGGTGGATTTGGCGGGGAGTCCCATCAAAAGGAGTGGATTGTGATATTCCACATTGGTTGGGGAGGAGAACAAAACACCCTTGGTGTGGAAATCATAGCTGATGTGGTGTGTTTTAAAGCCTTGAGAGAAAGCTTAAAGAGGACAATATCTACTGACTTTAAAGCCTTGAGAGAAAGCTTAAAGAGGACAATATCTACTGACGATAGACCCGTTATAATACACCATTGATCAAATATTTTTTGAAAAAACAAAATGATAGTTAAATATCATATCACCATTTTTTTTTTTTTTTTTTTTGGACATTTTGCCATTCAAATCGAAGGTCATTGGCCAACAATAATTTAAATCAAAAGAGCACTTACTTTTGTACTAAAAAGAATCATATACTTTTCCTCAAAATCCGAAGCTTTCCACAGCCAATAGAGCCAACAATGCTTTTATTCAAAGCAGCCATCTACCAACAGCCATCTTGACAAGCAATTATAGTGACAGCCTCCTGGTAGGCATGGCAGCCTTATTGCTCACATTGGCATCACATTATAAAAAGGACCATACACAACTTGCCCAACAATCAGGAATCTAGATCTTTGGTTCAAATTTCACTCACATGTTAGAGGAACATTACAAGGATATTTCACGTTACATGTTGGTGAACAGATTCTTCTCATTGTTCCCATTAGATATTTCATTAATAATCGGTTACCGTGCAATTATTTGGGTAGCCCCACGGGTCAATAAGATCTATGCCGGAGAATCATTCAAGCTCTTGTGACTACTTTCCTAAAATATCATGACAACTAAATAGAATAGAACAGAGAAGAGACGAGACGCGCAGTCCAGAACACTGACAAATAGTAATAATAATGATATCATTGACGAGGTTCAAATCTCGATATCTCACATATATTGGTACTAAATTAGATTATCTCACGAACAATAGGGGAGAGAAGAGGTATATGCCTATAGAGATTAAAGACAAACTTTAAGAACCAACGAGATGCGCATAAACTGACGTTAACATTGCATGATTAAAATATTATCGATTACATCACGAACTACAGGAGAAAAAATGTAATGTCCATAAATAAAAAAACAGAGACTAAAGACAGTTTAAAGGCAGTTGGATATGTTTTATCACATCAAGGAGAAAAGTCTTAGACTAAAGCATATTCCTAATCACTACTACAAAAATCCTGGGTGCAACTTGTAAGAAATCTATAAGAACATTTGACTGAAATACTGATATGCAAAAACAGTGATTTTTTTCTATACCACTGGCCTAGCCAAACCCATCGAACAAACATATTGAAGGAACCCTTCAAACTTACAGGCGAGAGATCAGTAGAGGTACTGATACCGGCTCCACAGCTAGGACTGGCTGGAATATATTTAGCTCCCCATAGCGCTCGAGGACTCGCATTCTGCAGTCCTCCGCAGCCATTACACCAGTAGCGAACGCACCGTGCACTGACCCTGGGAAGCTTGTGCTAGTTGCCTCCCCTGCAAAGAATATGTTATCTATGGGGATTCTCAACTTCTCATATAGATCACTGGGCTTGTCAACTATGTCATAACTGTATGATCCAAGTGTGTCAATATCTGTTCCCCATCGGGAAACAAGGAAATTGATCTGCAAATTTGAGAATATTGATGAGTTTTTAATTCAATATCTTCATTTGTGTGCATAATTCTATGTCCAATTGCAAATGAAATATTCGAAAGAGGAAATCTTACCGGTTCAGAAGCATCCGGAAGAATTTTTTTGAGTTGTGTAAAAGCAAAATTAGCAGCAGCTTCATCGGACAATTTCTCTATGTCTTCAGCCAGCTGCCCGGCAGGCATGTAAACGAGAATAGAATGCCCAGTGGCTTTGTGAAGATTGAGAAAGTAGCTGCATTCATATGTTGTTTCTGCCACTACTCCTAGAAACTCCACATTCGGCCAAAAAACTTGTTCAAATTGCAGTATTATTTTATTCTCCACCCCTACTCCAAGGTCAGATATGGCGGATTCTTTCCAATCTGGGAGTTTCGGCTCGAACTTTATGGTATTAGCTTTGAGCACCCCGAGAGGGACAGAAACTATTGCAGCATCAGCAACAAATGTTGTCCCGTCTTCGACCGTGACCTTAATTTCATTATATCGTCTAACAACTTTTGTAACCCTGAGAACCAAGGAAGATTCCAAATCATAAGCTGAAGTCTGCGATGAAACATGAATTAAAAGGAATACAAAAAAGTAGAGAACAAGCTTTACCTGTGACCCAAACGGATGTCAAGACCCTTTGCAAGAGTGTTGATAACAGGAAGGTATCCCCTTACCATTAGCCCATGACCTCCAGGCAGCAGCTCTTCCTGGAATAATCAGAATGATACTTTAAAAAAACCTAGAAAAGGATGGAAGAAAATAGAGCATGAAAAGAACAAACATTCTCAAGAGTATTAAACTTGTTATTGAAATTGATTTTATCATTTAGATTATCCTCTAGCATTCCTCTTAAGTTTGGGCTTCTTGGCCATTTTACTCCCAACATGTCACTAATAATAGTACTTGGTGGAAGCATGTGAATTTGTATAAGATATATATCATCCATCTAAATTTTAAGACATTAAAATTAGTGTAAAATTAGTAAATTGTCCACAAGTAAACATCAAGTCCCCAAGTTGATAATCCCCTGATAGACTATTGCGGCACAAATAGAAACAGAACTAAAGTGAAATTCATGAAGCAGCTTTTATCCGTAATTACAAAGATTTTCCCTCTCTCCTACGATCTGTTTCCAGATTAAATCAGGTATTCTCTGTCGTAGTTTGATGCCCACAACCACAAGCCATGGGCAAAAAAGCATAATGATTATGCCAGAAGAGCTAGTAGTCAACGGCTAATAAAGCTGGCATGAACTAAACAGAACCTGTCATGGTCGTCCTAGCATACCATTTTATGGTGTGTGCAAGTAGTCAAAGGCTAATAAAGCTGCCATGTACTAGAACAGAACCTGTCATTGTCGACCTTGTATACCATTTTATGGTGTTTCAACTGCCTGACTCTAAACCAAGCGAAGTAAATTTATTTCCTAGTGGTCAATAAGACATTCCCAAGTAATGTTTTTTTTTTTCCTTTTGACAAAAATCTAGCTTCCATTAAGGAAAAAAAAAAAAAATGAAAGAATACAACGGGCACCTCTATGTCTATATGTCAATATCCCTATACTACTATAGCCAATATTAACTGTATGATTGTATATAGAAACTAGAGATAAACTGACATTGCAACTATACTACTATAGCCAATATCATTTGAACATGTAAGACTAGCAAATGTCACAAAGTAAATTTTCAGCTTCCATTTGTTAATGACCATAGATATCAAAAGCAAATATTTATTGCTATTCAGTGTGCACTATATGGTCCCCCAACATGTGAAGATAGAGAAAGAACTAGACATTGTTATAAAGATTCTAATCATAAAATACCAGATCCCAACATTTTAGTGAAATAGTATTGGCATCTGCAGCAAACCATCCTTCCATCCTACAGAGATACCACTGAAGAACCTTGTGGGCAAGCCCATCCATCCTGTGTTTAAGCATGTTTATCAATTAAGTTGAAGATGAAAAAAAAAAAAGTAATAATAAAGACAAGTTAAAATAATCACATCAGGAAAAAAACATACTTCAATTCTGGTCTTCTTTCAAAAACAATTGAGAATGCACGCTTTACAGTCATGTCCTCAG